TTTTCGGAATAGAATATTAGATTTTCAATTTTAGAAAATTTTGAATTTTCAGAATTCTATAAATTCTTAAATCTTTAGAATCACTAAATTTAAAGTCTTAAAGAGTATATTTCGAACATCAAAAAATAGAAAATCTAAAACAGAAACTCTTTGTATTTCTGAATTTTGAATTCTATCAATACAGGGTTATTCATAAGCAGCAATAACATCAACAGCAACATAACAAGCAATATTTGAACCTCAAAAATGACCTTTAAAATGATGTTAATTTAAATAATAACTCGTTCCTATCTCTACTGATAAGAATTTTACTGCCCTCAGAATGTGGGCATGGAAAATTGATTTTTCTGTAATAACTTTAAAACTACTTGACCAAATATTATAAAATTTGGAACATTTCTTTGTGATAATATACCTTTTGAACTGGTAATCACGAAAACCGGATACATCCACTCAATTTCCGGTTCCAGCAGTTGCTGGTCACATTTTCTGTGTTTTTCCATTTTTTTGCTCTCTTAACACCAATTTTTTATTGCCCAAATAGATAAAGTAATCAATTTCGAATAAAAAACGCATAACCTTTAATACCCCTAAAATGGACCGTTTCAAAGATATTTTAATTTAAACTGAGGACTGCACAACGCTGAAATCAAAAAATAGGAATTTTGAGTAAATGATATCCACGGCAACAAATGACCATGGTCCCACAAATCACTGTCAGGCCTCTGTCAACCTTGACATTGGACGATTCTTGGGCGATTAATTGAAAATATTTAATAAAAGAGTTTACCTCAGATTCTATACGTAACTTAGAATAAATCCAAATGGATCTCGTAGCATTTAATTCATAAAAAATTCACAAAAATGTATCGTCAAAGTTAAGAGATGCCTGGTAGGGATTTTTGTGACCATGGTCATATGTTGCCGTGGATACCTCTTATTCAAAATCCCTATTTTTTGATTTCAGCGTTTAGTCCGGTCAAATTAGTCATAAAAATAGTGGTCAAATAACGAAAATTGCGACAGAGCTAAATTTTGGTGGAGACCTTGGGTACACCATTAGAAATAAACTTTCAAAAGTCCCCATCGATCCCATGTGTGCTAAAAAAGTTATTCGTGGTCAAAGGTCAAAATTTGACGTTTTTAAATTTATTTCGGAAACGGTAAGTTTTATCAAAAAAGTAGCCCAGACAAAAATTATAGATCTTAAAATTAGCTACAAAACGGTCTTTATACTTTTTTCCTAAGAATCACCATTCCTGAGATATCGCGATTCTAAGAGTTGTAAGAGTAACGTTCTACATCATGTGCACATACAGAGTGCGCCAGAACTCGCGCCCCAGGAACATGGAAAAAATGTTAAAAAAAAATTATCTATAAAAATTTTGAAGTTATGAGGGTTTAAATTTTGCACTTTGACTCTATTTATATCTGTTGGAAAAATACTTTTCCAAGTTTTTTTGCTACAGGCTATTAGAAGCAGAAACAAGGAAGCTGTATCCTAAACTGTAACTCTGTTTAATGTTATTTGTGGCTTTTATTGACAAAATTTTTGTACCTTTACTAAATAATTAAAAAAAAAACATATACAGGGTCATCAGTATTATTAAATAGACATAAAAAAATGTCAAATGTCAAAAAATAAATGTCAAAAATTTTTGACAGATAGAATTTTTTAAACATTTTTTTAGTACTCTGGGGATTACCCAATTACTCCCTTTTAAGGAAGTGCGCGATTTTTTAAACAGCCTCTATGTTTTAACAAAAAATTCTTCTTAATTCCAATGAGATCGAGATATGCATCAGTTTAATGAAGTAGAAGAAAAATTTCAAGTAAGATAAGATACCAGGAACATGAAAAAAATGTTTAAAAAATTCTATCTGTCAAAAAATTTTGACATTTATTTTTTGACATTTGACAGTTTTTTATGTCTATTTAATGATACTGATGATCTTGTATATGTTTTTTGAAATTATTTATTAAAGATACAAAAATTTTGTCAATGAAAGCCACAAACAACATTGAACAGAGTTACAATTTAGGATACAGCTTCCTTGATTCCTCTTCTAATAGCCTGTAGCAAAAAAACTTGGAAAATTGTTTTTCCAACAGAAATAAATAAAGGCAAAGTGCAAAATTTAAACTCTCATAACTTCGAAATTTTTATAGATAGAATTTTTTTTAAATTTTTTCCATGTTCCTGGTACCTTACCCTACATAGCATTTTTTTGGAGGCGCGAGTTCTGACGCACTCTGTATGTGCATATCATGTAGAAAGTGACTCCTTCAACTTTTAAAATCGCGATATCTCAGAAATGGTGATTCTTAGAAAAAAAGTATAAGGATCTTTTTTGTAGATAATTTTAAGGTCTATCTTTTTTGTCTGGACTACTTTTTTGATAAAACTTACCGTTTTCGAAAGAAATCCAAAAAACCTCAAATTTTTACCTTTGACCCCGAAGAACTTTTTTAGCACACATGGGATCGATGGGGACTTTTGACACTTTATTTCTAATGGTGTACCCAAGGTCTCCACCAAAATTTAGCTCTGTCGGAATTTTTGTTATTTGAATTGTCTATTTTGACCGGACTAGTTGTGAAGTCCTCAGTTTAAATTAAAATGTCTTTGAAACGGTCCATTTTAGGGGTATTAAGGATTATGCGTTTTTTATTCGAAATTGATTACTCTATCTATTTGGGTAATAAAAAATTGGTGTTAAGAGAGCAAAAAAATGGAAAAACACAGAAAATGTGACCTGCAACTGCTGGAACCGGAAATTCAGTGGATGTGTCCGGTTTTCGTGATTACCAGTTCAAAGGGTATGTTGTTACAGGGAAATGTTCTAAATTTTATAATATTTGGTCAAATAGTTTCAAAGTTACCCACATTCCGAGGGCTGTAAAATTCTTATCAGTAGAGAGAGGACACGGGTTATTATTTAAATTAACATCATTTTATGGGTCATTTTTGAGGTTCAAATATTGCTTCATATTTATAAATAACCCTGTATAAAATCGTAGAAATAAGAATGTTAGAGAAGAGTTTTTTTGGGGATTTAGGATCTTGGGGTTTTGGGGTAACAATGAAATTTATTTTATTTCCCTTGAGGTCTAAAAAAGTAAATAAATTAACAATAAAACTCTTTTTTATATTTGTTTTTGTATTTTTGTCTTGAATTTTTTCAGAACTTTTTTAATAGATTATTAATTTATTTTGTTTTGTAACCTTTGATTTTTGAATTTTTAATTTGGAACAAATAAAAGTCACAAATTTAAAAATAGAAACCTTTACAGTTTAACAAAATTAGATTTTTGAAAATCCAAGTTCTGGTTTTGAAGATTCTAATCTATAAACTTCTCAAACCAAAAATTTGATAAATTTTTAAATGAATACTAGAGGTTTAAAAAACAAGATTTTTGGAGTTTTAGAGTCCATGATCTTGAAAACAAAAATTTGTAAAATTTAAAAAATTTATGGTTTTAGAAATAAATTTCAGAAAGTTAAATATTAAAAATTTCATTGATTTAAAACTAAAGAAAAAGTTAATATGAGAAAAAATGACATTTTTGATTTTTTCTCAGAAATTTGAATCTAGAAACAGAATCGTGAATTTAGAATCTAGGGTTATTAATTTTAGTTTTTTGGAGAAATAAACAAGTTAAAATTTTTTGGAATTTAGAATTCTAGAAATTTGAATACATGGAACGCAATTTCTGGCTGGATAAAAAAAACTCAGATTTTTTTTATCCCAAAATTTACATTTTCAGTGTTCGACGCTTCATCGAAATTTCCGGTGGGTCTCCTCCACGGTAATTTCTACCAATTAGGAAATTTCGACGAATGCATCAAAGTTGGCCATAACAGCCCGATCCGAGGTCAGTACTGTCTAGCCTCTGTGGAATTAATCAAGAAACCATCGGATGGACGTGTGGCGCGATCATTTGAAAAACACAAGGTATACCAACTTCTAACTAAACAAAAAACCCCATTGTGGTACTTCCAGGACAAACCTCGCCATATTTTCAACAGAACCATGTTTTGGAGCGTCTGTGTACCATCGTCGTGCACAGTCGACGAAGTTCGCCTAATTGTCAAACAACTATTCACCTTAGCAACCAAACAACCAATCACAGTGACACTGAGAGAGGATAAGTGTCACGTGGATAAAAACGAGCCAATCACAGCGCTGGAAATTGTCTACGGGTACCGCCCCCTAACCCAATTGTAAAATTTTGACTTTTTTTTCATTTCCAGTTGCATCGTCGGCATTTTTAGTGTTTTTATTATTTTTGCGACTGTTTTTCATTATTGTGTCAAACACAATGTAGAGTCAGGAAGTGTTGTCAAAGACGCTATATTTTGTTTTTCTTTAATCAAGACAGTTGGGAAATTTTTGACAACTAAAACGTCAAGTCTTAATCTAGAGTGCCTGAGTGGTATAAAATTCATCTCAATGTTGTTTATAATCGCCGGACATTCGTTTCTGTTTCTGGTGGGAGGGCCGGTCCAAAATACAGATTTTTACGAAGAGGTACCAACTTTTCTGAGAAAAATTCCCCCAAAAAATGTGATTTTTTAGGAAAGTCGGAATGTGTTGAACGCCATATTTGTTAATAGTCCACTATTGGTGGACACGTTTTTGCTTGTCAGTGGCTTCTTGATGTGTTATCTACTATTACTAGAGCTTGACAAGAGAAAGGGTAAAATAAATGTGTTGGTACTATACATAGCACGTTACATAAGGTTGGTATTACAAGTGTCAAGTGTCAAAAATTAGACATTTGTTTTAAGATTGACGCCATCTTACTTAGTTGTGATTGGTTTTTATTGCACTTTCTTGTCGCGGATTGGTGATGGTCCTTTATGGGACTCTAGAATTAAAAATGAGCAAGAGAAGTGTCAAAAATCATGGTGGACTAATCTACTCTATGTCAACAATTATGTCAACACTGATAATATGGTATGTTGGTACCACTGAAGCACTAAAATCCCCTAACATTTTTTAGTGCATGTTCCAATCGTGGTATTTGGCGGCCGATTATCACTTGTTTATCATAGCCCCGTTTATAATTTACCCACTTTGGAAGTTTTCTAAAGTTGGCAAAACTGTACTCGGACTTGGGGTTTTCATCAGTGTTGCCATACCATTTATAGTGACAATTGTAAATAAACTAGATCCGACTTTAATGATTTTTGCACCGTAAGTTGGCCCCCATTTTGTTTTTTTTCGCCATTTTGTTTTTAGGGAAGTTTACGAAATCACCGATAATTACTACTTCAAAACCGCTTATATTAAGACACATATGAGGGCCGGTTCGTATTTTTTTGGCCTATTTTTCGGGTACCTTTTGTACAAATTGCAAAGTCAAGGGTTGGTACTTGGGTGGTACCAAACATTTTTTTGCTAATTTTTTTTTTGTAGAACCAAATTGTCGAAACGGGTAATTTGGTTCGGTTGGTTCCTTTGCACCACTTGCGGCATTACATCTATGTATTCCATTGTGGTGTTTTATGCCCCCGAGCACCAATATAATGCCGTCGAGGCGGCGATTTATGCCTCGCTTCATCGCGTTGCCTGGTGCATATCTATAGGGTGGATCATGATAGCGTGCATTACGAAAAATGCCCCGATTGTTAATCAATTTCTCTCCTGGAAGCCTTTTATGCCCTTAAGCCGGCTCACGTACTGTGCGTATCTATGCAACGGATTTATCGAAATTTACAGTTTAGGGTTGATAAGGCAGGGAACGTACATGGGGAAATTTGAGTTGGTAAGTCGGCGATTTGATTTTGATTTTTGGGTTTTTAGTTTTTTTTTAGGGAACTAAGTCGCTGGCACACTGCGTTTTGACGTTTGGAATGGCTTTTGTTTTGTGTATTTTCTTTGAGTCGCCCATTCATGGCTTGGAGAAAATTTTATTGAGGAGAGGTAATTTTTGAGTTTTTTTGGAATTTAGGAATTAATAACTGTTTTAGTGCCTCAAAGGACCTCAAAAGTCAAGGCCGTAAGTAATGAGACAGTCAGTACGGAAATTTGATTGGTGGTTATTTATTTGTACACTCTGTATATTACTGTTGACTATTTGTATGTTTTGTAAAATAAATGTGTAAAAACTACAAGTTTTTTATTCCAAAATTTTGGAAATCTCAATTTTTAGAGACCTACAATTGAGCTAAATAACAAATATAAAAATTTTAGAATTTTAAAATC